TTATGACTCCTTGTCACTCCAGCTTGGTCACATTCTTTGTACTCAAGGACAGGAAATAATGGTTCCAATTTTAACTCCTGAGTCACTCCCTCCTTTTGATCAGAGATTGGAGATAACATATCAATGATCAAAACCTGGACGTAGGCTCCCAGATGACAGCTATGCACCTCTTTAAACTCACAGTGCTGATTTTCCACCAGATACCATCTGGTTCTTCACCAGGGTCTTAAGCAAGAATGACATTTCCATCAATCACATTGCAGAAATGAGCAGAATATACATCAACATTTCAGCCCGAACCTTTCTTTTGACTTTTAAGTGTGTAACACAATAGAAGATAAGTTTTATTATGACTAATACTATCAGGATGCAGACTATTACTATTCCTTGCAATAGTGATCTAGCCCATGTACTTATTCCTGATGGTAGCCAGCCAAATAAATCCGGCGTTTGTAGGGGTATTATAGTGTGTAACCAAGTAGCCTGCTGTCTAATTCTATGTATACCTTGTTCTACTTCTCCTGTGTTATTTATCCAAATGCAACAAGAGGTATTTGCTACAACATAGACTCCACCTTCTTGGGCTAATAAAAAATCTAAGGCTATTTTGTTATCTAATGCCACCCTGGCTAATGAGGTCAGAGATCGCTGTTGTGTTTCCATTCCATCAGCAACCCTGTCTGCTACCAGGAAGCTTTTGAGCCTCAGTCTTCCAAAGCCTTCATTGGCCTCCCATGTGGAGGCCTCACTGCCCTCTGTTATGGCCACCCCCCACTCATTAGCCTCAAGTATAGTGCAGCTCTTAGGAACCAAGGCCAAAGGCCAAATTCCTATTGCCAGGTATGTGTTATCACCTCACAATTCACCCCCTGGCCTTTTGGTCACAGGTTCTTTCACGTGCTTAATATTTGGAGGATTCCTCTCCACTCCCTGTACATCAACATCAGTATTACAACCTCAGTCTAAATCAGTCATTAACAAGTAGTCTAGTCCATCCTCATTTCATAGGGCAAAACCTCCTCCCCTGGCGAGGGCACTCCAGTCTGCTGCAGGCTTCCATCTGGTCCACAGGTAGGCATCATCTCAATTTCACCTTTTTAGGCATCTGATGTAATTGAGCTAAGAAACAACATTATTCTCTTACTCTGAGCCTCCCTTGAGGTATTAACATGATGTTGGATTTCCCTCACTGCATAACCCATTTATTCATTCCTTTACCTTCAGTTATTATTTCTCCTTTCTTCCATTCTTCCTGAAACTTTTTCACCTTGGGAAGAGACATCAGGTTTGGCCCCTGTGCCAGGCCAGACTGCTGGTAGTAATACCAGTCTAGCAAGCACCTCCTTCTTGCTAGATTGGTATTACTACAGTAGTGGGCTATCTCGACCACCAGGCAATACAGCAGTATTCACTCTCAACTTGAATTCTGTCAGATGGGGTGAAGGTACAATTGACCCTGCTGTTGTTGTTGTTGTTATTTGATGCTGTCGAGTCAGTTCTGACTCACAGTGACCCTATAGGGCAGAGAAGAACTGTCCCATAGCGTTTCCAAGGAGTGGCCGGTGGATTTGAACTGCTGACCTTTTGGTTAGCACCCGAGCTTTTAACCTCTGTGCCACCAGGGCTCCACTGACCCTACTAGGCCCTTGGAAATTATGGCATACAGGTTTCAGAGTATGGTTACAGTTTCTTGCTTAGGGATCACCCCTGCTTCCAGCAACCGCAGCTGCATCCCTGATCCTGGGACCGCAGCATCTGGCAGGAAAAAAGCAGTTTCAGGTGATGGAGGGAAGAACTGTGTCTTAGTCATCTAATGCTGCTATAACAGAAATACCATAAGTGGATGGTTTTAACGAAGAGAAGTTTATTTCCTCACAGTCAAAGTAGGCTAAAAGTCCAAATTCAGGGTATCAGCTCCAGGGGAAGTCTTTCTTTCTCTCTGTCAGCCTTCTCATCAGTGTTCCCCTGGACTAGGAGCTTCTCACCGCAGGGACCCCTGTCCCACTGCTCACTTCTCTCTTTTATATCTCAAGAGATTACCTCAGGACACAATCCAGTCTTGTAGATCAGGTCCTGCCTTACTAACACAACTGCCACCCATCCTCCCTCATTAACATCATAGAGGCAGGTTTACAACATACAGGAAAACCACACAGTGCCAGGAATCATGGCCTAGCCAAATTGATACACACATTTTTTGGGGGACATAATGCAAACCATGATAAACTGTATAGTTGCACCAGCATCCTTCCCCATTCCTCCTCCCCAGATCCCCTAAAAATGTAGAAATCTGTCCAGTAGCAAGCCTCCCTTGGCCCCCTTCATGTTGAGTGTGAACACACACACGTCAAGGCGTATCAGCCAGCCTTCATGCCTTTATCTCCCCCCATTTTAGATAATGTTTCAATTGCCCATTCCAATTTTCTATCAAACCATTATTCTGAGGGCGGTATGCAATGGGGCATGTCCATTTAATATGATTCTTGGTCCATTGCTGAACACTATGAGCGGTAAAGTGTGTTCCTTGGTCTGAAGAGATGTAACTCAGTGGCCCAAATTGGTACAGTATCTTTTGTTCCAAACTCTTAATAATATTTTTAGCATTTGCATCTACCACTGGATATGCAAAGCCTACTCCAGAGTAAGTAAGCATTCCTGTTAGGACCAATTTGTAGTACCTGGGGCCACTGGCATCATCAGTCCAGAGTAATCCACTTGCCAGCTACATGCAGGGCCTTCCCCCTAGGTATCTGCCCCATAGCTATCTGTAATATTTGTGTTTCTTGTTGGCAGACAGAACAGTCTTTATTGGCATTTTGAGCCTCAGAGTGTGCAAGAGGGGGGTATGTCTAGATTTATCCCATATCTGCATTGCTGTAGCACCTCCATATCTATTCATTTCATGGTCCCAGGTAGCCATCTCAAGCAAGTATACCAACAGGTCCACTTGCTGATTCCAATCGCCTTCTAATCTGGGAAAAGTGTTCTTCTGATGGGCACTGACATGTCCTACTTTAATGCACCCCTCAAATTTCCACAGGGCTGTGCCCAACATGGTCATTTCTTTAACAGGCCAGGTTTTCATTGTCCTTTTAGCTGGCCCTACCACCTAGCTGTTTGCCAAAAACTCAAACGTAGTGACAAACAGCATGCATTTCAGCCCATGGGGCTGATTTGTTTTTATCTTTAATCAGAGTCTTCCCATCTGCTGGTAACTGTCTCTCAAATGTATATCCTGTGGCTCAAAATCCCAGCTGGGTGGCACTCACAAGCTTTCGGCATAAGCCCCAACTATGCTCCACAAGGATTATTGTAATAACCTATGTCAGCTTGGGCACTCTTCCTAATTCCATTTAGCACATCCAATCAAAGCTGGCCTAAGGGCAGACTTACACATCTGTTTTTACACACGATATTAGGCAGGTGAAACATTCCCAAATCAGACAAAATATCCATTCTGGTAATACACTCAAATAAACATAACCACTTCATATAAAGCCTATTTAAACATTCCATTTTCATCCACACTTCTCTTTTCCACCCTGACCATTTTATTTATCCATATGTATATGGCCCCAGGTCCCTGGCTGAGGTCACACCAGAAGATCCTGACCCCTTGTCAGTCATCTTGATTAGCCTGCCAGGCCTTTGCCTCAAACAGCTCCAGGTGGGGCTTTCCTCTCCTTCCTATTGTCTGGGAATCAGACTACAGCATAGCTTTTTTCCCTTTGGAAACAGCTCTGAGTCCCCAGGCTCCACACCAGAATCTAAACACAGCTCTGCCCTGGGATCCTCCTCAACACAATACTTCAGTAGGAATCCTACAGCTACAGGCTCCAGTCTAGACTGGCCAGAATATAAATTTAGTTCATCTCTTACTTCCATTGTGGAGCCCTGGTGGCACAGTGGTTAAGAGTGCCACTGCTAATCAAAAGGTCAGCAGTTTGTATCTACTGCCACTCCTTGGAAACTCTATGGTGCAGTTCTACTCTGTCCTATAGGGTCACTATGAATCAAAATTGACTCAAAGGCAATGAGTGTTACTTTCATTGTAATCATTACAGATAACAGTAACAAAGGAATTGTATACTTCACTTTTTCCTTGTTACTTTACAAAGGTTTGTCATCTCCCACTCGATCATCCTTTGTCTTCCAAGATCCCATGTGGTTGTTCCAGTGAATCCCATTCACTCCATCCATCCCATCTGGGTCACCAACTGCATTAAGCAAAGAGAAAGTGAGTAAACCCCACCTTTGCCACTAAATATGTGGTAAGAATCAGCATGAATCCAAACCCCAAAATGTGGGGATGAATCTAGTCCTCACCTTCCTACTTTTTCACCGTCATTGCCAGCCTCCCAAGTGACACACTCTCTCTCTGACCCTAGCCACCCAGAGCTCGGTCAGAGCTCACAAGTCAGACAGACACCATCTTGCAGACTACTAAATAGGCAGACACCAGCCCCTTCTGCCTCTCACTGTCCCTGTGGGTTCAAAAATCCACTGGAACGACTCAAAAAATTAATGGAGAATATACCATACTTACAGCTACAGATTTACTATAACCCAAAAGGATACAAATGAAGAAAACTCATAGGGTGAGGTCTGGGAGGGTTCCCAGCATGGAGCTTCCATGTCCCAAAGAAGGACACGCTACCCTCTCCCGTGCATAGTCACTAACAAGGAAGCTCATATCAGCCTTAGAATTCAGGGCTCTTATTGGCCTCCCACGTGGCCATAACAGATTACATCTTGCCTTCTGAGGCTTAATCAACATCAGGCCCCCAGGTGGTCCCTCTTGGTCTGGTCAGGCCTCACTTATTAGCCTCAAGTGTAGTCCAGCTCAAAACAACCAAGAACAAAGGCCAAACTGCTTTCTGAAAGGTAATTTCACACTTCGAAGGTGCAAAACGCCACCAACTACAAGATGCCTCTGAAACGTATTTCTACTAGAGATCCATGATTCAATCAAAACCCTATAGAGAGCAGGACATTCATACCTGCATCGCCACTGGGAAATCAGTCTGCGTCTCTGGAGGGAAAAACACATCCACGGCTTTCTTGACAAAAGGTTGGTTTCCTGCTGCAGGCTGTCCCACTTCAATGATGTGCAACTGGAAAAGAAATTTTAGGTCAATCCAAAGTAGAAATGTTCTTGGTGGCAGATGATGCTAACTGCACAGTTGCGAGTAGAGCCTCAGAGTTCTTTATGGATAATGCTAAAACCTACAAGATAATCATATCCAAACAAAACAAGGCAATCCCTTTCTTGTGGTACTTAAGATTATTTGCTAACTTGCTCCTCACCCATAAGTACAACAGTGAGAAGCAATGTCAGGAAACCTAAGGTCTAGCTCCAGGGCGTTGGCCGAGTTCCTGCTCCCTTCCCTGGGCCTCAGTGCCAATGACTGTGATACAAAAGGCTCCGACTAGGACCTGAAGTCTCCTTCTAGCTTGGCTACTCTGATCTGCTCACGGTCCAGGCTAACATAAATCAGTTTACCAGACAAGATCTCATAATTGTATGCCAAACTCACAAGACAGTCTGATCATGGCATAGGCCTGAGTTTTTCAAAGGTGGTGTTGGGGGATCTAAGAATCTTTGGCTTATTTACCACGGCCACTGTAGGAATGAGAGCAGACGAGGGGACCCATCCCCGCTGTTATCAGAACAGGTTCAAATTCCTGTTTTACATATGTGTCCTCCTTTTAACTTCCATCTAAAGAAAAGGTACCATAGCTAAAACAAGTCTAGGAAAAAATCATCAGTAGAGGTGGATTAGAGACATGAAACACAAAGGGTTAGAGGGTAGGTTTAACGGAGGAAATGGCCAAGGGTATCCATGGGGGATAATCTGGATTTGGCTACGCAGAGAGAAGGGGGGAAATACTAAAGAGGCCAAGGAGAGGGTGACATTGAAAGATGGACTCCATGGGGAGGGCCTGATGCAGCAAGCATTCAGGAGCTCATCCCATCCATCCCGATGCTGTCGAGTCGATTCCGACTCATACAGGGGCTACTGTAAATTAAAATATGGGAGACTGAAACTTCTTGCACACAGGTACTTTAAGATGATTGATAATTTAGGAACATTCTATGGCTGGGACTATTGGTAGGAAAGGGTGAGGTGGGTCTGAGGATCTAGTAGATGGCTATTTTCTAACACAAATATGGGATGAGGAGGGCTTAGTCTACCACAAAAGCTAAGACAGACATGAGACTTGCTAATGGTTAGACAGTGAGCACAAAAATAAAATGGAGTTAGAGCCATGGTTTCTTGCTTTGAGGTTCAGAAGAACGGTGATACTACCAGGAGAACGGAGTCATTGGGAAAGGAAGCCTGGTTTCTTTTGAAATGGAGTGGGGGAAGGGCACATTTTTGGACAAGTGGAGCCTACCTGTAGGAAAGTTAGTTAAAAGAAACTGGTGTCCAGGCCAAACTCTCATCCATAAACGGAGGCCACAGAGCCATTCTCGTAAGTACAGCTGAACTGAACTTGGAAGGCATGTGAACTGAACACAGGCTAAGAAAAACACTGAAGGGACTCCACACCCTTCATTTTGTAGAGGATATGAGATCCACCCACAAATCACTATGAGGCAGCACTTGGGGTAGTTCCTGTAGGGGGAAGCCTCATTTCCTAGACCTACAGTCTCTTGGAGTATGGAAGGACCTGCACTGGGAAGACAGCTCCTGGCAAATCTCTGCCCCCACTTGCTTGCCTCTGAGGAGCCATGGAGAGTGACCTCAGACAGCCCACTCACCAGCCCCTGCTCTTTCAGGGCCTCAGGCCTGTAAGGGACTCCTTTTCGTTTGCTCTCTTCTCCACATGAGCTCTGTGGGGCAGGCTCTGCACCTGAAGGGGAGGTCTTTTGCAGCCCTACTCTGCCGGTGAAGAAGTGGTAAACCCAGTTCTGAGGGGATATGGTGGCAAGTTCTTTTGCTACTTAACTAAAGTCAGTTTCTTCAATCAGCTTTATTAGCAACAAAACTGACATTTTTACTTGACTCCTATTTTTATCTTGATCCTCAACTGAGGAGGGCATAAAGTATGTGATACAATAAGACATCAAAGTACCCAAATACATATACTTAAAATGAGGAAGTTTGGGAAGTCACATATTGATTTAGAACTCTTCAGGAAGTACTTCAGGGCTAATGAACAACCCAAAATAATGATTTTAGAAAGTGTTTTTGACAAGAATGTCCTGAGATTAGGCTTCTGTTCTGAAGCAGTTCTCCAAGCAAATGACACATTCTTGGTAGAAGCCCAGGTTTCCTCTGACATCCTGAGTTCTTCCACCGTCATGCACACCCCTGTCCATGGCAGCCCTGCCCAACAGGTGCTGGCCATGCCCTCAAGCGTGACAAAACCCAACTTGCTCTCAGGCACAGCCTCTTCTCTCTGTAGCATCCCTGGGAGCCCAGCCCCATCACCTGAACAGAACCTCTCTGTCAGTGATGTATGGCCCACACCACCTTATGGTAAGGATGGCACTGCAATGGTTATTTCACAACCATCTCCCCAGTAAGGCTCATGTGCGAGGGCAGGAGCTATGCCTCACCTTCATATCCCCAGTACTGAAGCATGCTCGGTATAGTCTATCCAAGTGGTTTTTTAGGGGAAACCCCAAAAACCAAACCCACTGCCACCGAGTCAATTCCGACTCACAGCGACCCTGTAGGACAGAGTAGAACTGCCCCATAGGGTTTCCAAGGAGTGGCTGGTGGATTCGAACTGCTGACCTTTTCGTTAGCAGCTAAGCTCTTAACCGCTGCGCCACCAGGGCTCTTTTAGGGGAAAGGGACCAATTAAAAAGTAGCAAACTTCAGCTTCCTAAGTTTATGCAAAGGTTTGCTGTGAAATCATTAACATGTACATTAGGTGAACAGTTCTGAACACAGCCAAGAGCCTTCATTTACACAGCACACCTGTAGGCTGCTGCCCGTTTCCAATTATATGTTGTTAGTTGCCATTGAGTTGATTCCAACTCATCCCAACCCCACATGTGCAGACAAGAACTCCATAAGGTTTTCAAAGCTGTGACCCCTCAGAAGCAGACTGCCAGGTCTGTCTTCCAAGGAGCCTCTGGGCGGGTTCAAACTGCCAATCTTTTGGCTAGTAGTCCAGCGCCACCCAGGGACTCCCCCAATTATATGTTGTTGTTGTGTGCTGTCAAGTTGATTCCGACTCATAGTGACCCTATAGGACAGAGTAGAACTGCCCCAGACGGTTTCCAAGGCTAGAATCTTTACGGAAACAGACTGCCACATCTTCCTCCCATGGAGTGGCTGGTGGCTTCGAACCCATGGTCAACCTTCCAGTTAGCAGCCGAGTGCTTAACCACTGTGCTATCAGGGCTCCTCCCCTAATTATATACCAGTTCCTAAATGTCCGCTAAGCAGCTACCAATTACACTTGTATAAACTCAGGTCACTTTTCTGAGGGAGAAGACAATGGAATAGCACTTACCTTGCTTTCTGTAGGACTGCGTACAGCAAAGCAGAAAAGGGTGGAAGGCCTGGCATTCCCCTTGATCATAAACTCTGCAAATGCGGCAGTATGGCCTTCTGTGGGCTGTGAAACCTTCCTATCGACCGAGTAGAGTTCCATTGCCCCAACCACACGATTTTGCTAAGAAAAAGACACTGTGCAATGAAAAGGAGAGACAAGATGCGAACATAAATAACAGACAATTCCTAAAACAAATGTTTCTCAAATGAAAGTCTCATACATTGATATATTCCCTCTAATAAACAGTAAGTCTATTAGCTATTAAGAACCATGATGTAACTCTGAAACTGATGCGGAAAGATGGCTATAAACACAAAGGAAAAACATAAGACTATCAAATAATAAAACAGAGATTCAATTTGTTAATAATAATGTATGAATGTGTGTATTTTCACAGAAACTCTTGGGAGGAAAAACCTCAAAATGTAGTTAAATAGGAGATGGGATTATGGGCTAATTTTGAAAAATTTATTGTTTTCTAAAATTTATTAACAGTACAAACTGTATTTAATAAAAACCAAGAAGGTTGATATCTTTTTACAAATTTATAACTTACATTTGTCTATCCAAGAATTTCAGTTCATTTATATCCAATGTCAATGCTCAAAAAGCTAAGTCAATGGAACACGAAAGCATTAGCATCGTCAGTCAAACTCCTACCATTCAACATTCAACCTATCATCTCTGTCTCATGTAGTCTGTGGGTAAAATTACAATCCTCAATCTGTTGCCCATCTACCCTGAAAAGTTATCTTTTATCTTCAGAAAGGAGGAAAACAAGGGCTTTGACTTTTTCTTTTAAAAAAAAAAAACTTTTCTACTGTACTTTTCTATTACATGGACTTACATAAAAGATACTACGCAAAGTACTGATACGTACTACAACATGGATGAATCTTGAAAACATTATGCTAAGTGAAAGAAACCAGCCATAAAGGACCACATCTTGTATGAATCCACATATGAAATACCCAGAATATGCAAGTCTATACAGACAGAAAGTAGATTAGCAGTTGCCAAGGTCTGCAGGTAGGGAGAAATAGGGGACTGACCAGTAAATAGATCCAGTGTACTCTATCAGAAACATGAACAAGAAAATTTAATAATGAGAATAAAAAGGACAGGCCAAAACTGACTCTCCCAGGAGACCATGCGAGGATTTTCAGCAACATGGTAACATTTCATTAGCATCCCCATGTTAGAGAAGACTAAACTGAAGCCAAGACACAGACATAGCAGAGAGAACACCTGAGATCAAGACTGGAGACAGGGGCTCTTTTGCTGGCCTGTGCTCATGGATCCAGAGGCTACGTGTGTGGCCTTGGCCCAATGACTCCTTCTAAGTCTTAGGCTCCTCCCAGGTTAAGTCCACTCGTGGGGTGGCTGAGTATTAAATGTGCTTTGGGTAAAAACATGTTGAGGACTGCAGCCGGCAAAAGACTCAACATGAAAATGCCTTCTTTGTGCCAGGCACAGTGCTAGAAGATAAGGACAAATAAGATGAATAAGACACAGACCCTTCCCTTAAGGACAGATGGCGAGGGCTTCTGGCAAGTAAGCACAAGTGCAATACAGAGTGACGATGGCTATGGCACAGGAAAGAACTAGATGTCCTGTTACCTCACCCAGATTAGTGGTGAATCAGGGAAGGCTGCCCAAAATAAAGGACACTTAAGCTACAGTCAGAGCTCACCAGGGGAAGAGGAAAAGAAGCTGTTTCAAACGGGGTAGCATCTGCAAAGGTTTCAACAGGGGTTGGCAAACTATGGCTTATGGGCCAAAATCTACCCCTCCCTCATATTTTTTTCCCCTTTCAAAACTGAGGTAAAATGAATGTAACATAAAAATTTTCATTTTAAAGCATACAATTCAGTAGCATTTGGCACATTCTTCATGTTGTGCAACCATCACCTCTATTACTTCAAAAACATTTTCATCCCCCCAAAAGAAAACCCCATACTCATTAAGCAGTCATCTCCATTCCACCTCCCTTCAGCACCTGGCAATCACCAATATGCTTTCTGTCTCTACGGATTTGCTTTTTCTAGATATTTCATAAACTTGGAATCATAATATGTGATCTTTTGTGTGTGGCTTCTTCCTTTCTTTCACTTAGCATAATCTTTTTGAGGTTTATCCACATTGTAGCATGTTTCAGTACCTCATTCCCTTTTATGACTGAGTAATATTCCATTGTCTGCATATATCACAATTTGTTTATCTTTGATAAACATCTGGATGATTGTCATGGACTGATTGTGTCCCCCCAAAAATGTGTGTAGCAACCTGGCTAGGTCATGATTCCCAGTATTGTATGACTGTGTCATCTGATGTTATTTCCTTATGTGTTGTAAACTCTATCACTATGATGAGGTTATATGTGATCTCCTTATGTGTTGTAAATTCTATCACTGTGATGAGGTTATTCTGATTAGGTTTACAAGATTAGATAGTGTCTTAATCCAATCTCTTTTGAGATATAAAAGAGAGAAGCAAGCAGAAAGCAGTGCTGGGAGCAAAGTGTGTCCTTTGGACCTGAGGTTCCTGCACTGAGATGCTCTCAGACCAAGGAAAGACTGATGCATCACAAGGACCTTCCTCCAGAGCTGAAAGAGAAAGTTCTCCTGGAGCTGACACCCCGAATTCGGACTTGTAGCCTACTGGACTGTGAGAGAATAAATTTCTCTTTGTTAAAACCATCCACTTGTGGTATTTCTGTTAGAGCAGCACTAGATGACTAAGACAATGATTTCCACCTTTTAGCTGTTGGGAATAGTGTTGCTATGAAAACTGGCGTACAAGCATCTGTTTGAAACCCTGCCCTCAATTCTTCTGGGTAGATACCTAGGAGTGGAGTTGCTGGGTAATATGGTAAGTCTACATTTAACTTTTTGAGAAACAGCCAAACCGTTTTCCATAGCGGCTATACCATTTTACATCCCCACTAGTAATGGACAAGGACTCCAATTTCTCCAACCCTTGACAATACTTGTTATTTTCCATCCTTTTCTATTATAGCTATCCTAGAGGGTGTGAAGTGTTACCCCACTGTGGTTTTTGTTTGCATTTCCCTAATGACTATTGATGTAATGCTTTATGTAGTTGTCTTTTAAATCAGGAGAAAAAAAAGTTATAATTAAAAAAATATATTTGTACTGTCTGTTACATTTATCTAGTAGTTACTTACACCAGCGTTCTTTCTTTCTTTTTTAAATTGTGTTTTAGGTGAAAGTTTACAGCACAAATTAGATTCTCATTAAAAAATTTAACACAAACTGTTTTATGACATTGGTTGCAATCCCTGCAATGTGTCAGCATTCTCCCCCTTTCCCGTTACATACTGGGCTCCCTGGTTCCATTCGTCCAGGTTTCCTGTCCCTTCCTGCCTTCTCGTCTTTGCATTTGGGCAGGTGTTGCCCATTTGGTCTTGTATACTTGACTGAACTAAGAAGCATGTTCCTCATGTGTGTTATTGTTTGTTTTATAGAGCTGTCTAATCTCTGGCTGAAAGGTGGACTTCAGGAGTGCCTTCAGTTTTGAGTCAGCAAGGTGTCTGGGAGCCATAGTCTCAGTCAGACCAGTAAGTCTGGTCTTTTTTGTGAACTTGAATTTTGTTCTACATGTTTCTCCAGCTCTGTCTGGAACCCTCTATTGTGATCCCTGTCAGAACAGTCAGTGGTCGTAGCCGGGTACCATCTAGTTCTTGGCTCAGGCTGGTGAAGGCTGTGGTTCATGTGGTCCATTAGTCCTTTGGACTAGTATTTTTCTTGTGTCTTTGGTTTTCTTTATTCTCCTTTGCTCTGGACATGATGGGACCAATAGATGCATCTTAGACGGCCGCTCGAAAGCTTTTCAGATCCCAGATGCTACTCACTGAAGTAGGATGTAGAACATTTTCTTTATGAACTGTGTTATGCCAATTGACCTAGATGTCCCTTGAGACCATGGTCACCAGCCCTCAGCCCCAGTAACTCCATCCTCAAGGTGATTGGATGTGTCTAGGAAACTTCTGTGGCTTTGCCTTGGTCAAGTTGTGCTGACTTGTTCTATATTGTGTGTTGTCTTTCCTTTCACCAAAGTTAACACTTGTCTATTACCTAGTCAGTGATTTCCCTCCCCTCCCTCATAACTATCAAAACTTGTTTTTTTTTTCTGTGTGTAAACCTTTTCTTGGGCTGTTATAATAGTGGTCTCATACAATATTTGTCCTTTTGTGATTGACTTATTTCCCTCAGCATAATGCCCTCCAGATTCACCCATGCTGTGAGATGTTGTACAGATTCATCATTGTTATTTACCATTGCATAGTATTCCATTGTGTGTATGTACCATAATTTGTTCTATCCATTCATCCGTTGATGGAAACTTAGGTTGTTTCCATCTTTTTTCTATTCTGAATAATGCTGCAATAAACATGGGTGTGCATGTGTCTATTCGTGTAACAGCTCTTATTTCTCTAGGATATATTCCTAGGAGTGGGATTGCTGAATTGTATATTTCATTTCCAGCTTTTTAAGGAGGTGCCATACCATTTTCAATAGTGATTGTACCATTTTACACTCCTACCAACAGTACATAAGAGTTCCAATCTCCTGGCAACCTCTCCAGCATTTGTTATTTTCTTTTTTGTTTTTTATTAGCGCCAGTAATGTCAGGGTAAGGTAGTATCTCGTAGTTTTGATTTGCATTTCTCTAATGGTTAATGATCGTGAGCAATTCCTCATGTGTCTGTTAGCTGTCTGAATGATTTCTTTGGTGAAGTGGCTGTTCATATCCTTTGCCCATTGTTCTTTACTTCTTCATGTAGATTCTAGCTTATTGGATGTACCGATTCATTCTTTCATCAAACTTGGGAAGTTTTCCCCTATTATTTCTTTATTCTCTCCTCTCCTTCTGGGACTCCCATTATGCATATGTTGAGACACCTGACAGTGTCCCACAGGTCTTTGAGTCTCTGTTCATTTTTCTTCATTCTTTGTTGTATCTTTTCCTCAGACTGAATAATCTCATTTGACCTATCTTCAGGCTTGCTGATTCTTTCTTCTATTAGCTGAAATCTGCTCTTGACCCACTCTAGTAAACTTTTCATTTTGGCAATTGTTAATTTCAACTCCAGAATTTCTATTTGGTTCTTTTAAAAATGATTTTGATCTCTTTATTGGTATTATTTGTTTGGTGAGACACTGTTCTCATATTCTCCTTTAGTTCTAAAGACATGGTTTCCTTTAGTTCTTTGAACATATTTAAAACAGCTGATTTAGAGTTTATTTAATTTTTTTAGTCTGGGCTTTCTCAGAACAGTTTCTATTGACTGCTTTTTTCCTGTACATAGGCCATAATTTCTTGTTTCTTTGTATATCTTGTAACTTTTGTTGAAAACTGGACATTTAAAATAATAAAATGTGACAACTCTGGAAATCAGATACTCTCTCCTCTGCCCCCAGAATTTGTTGTTGCTGTGTGGTAAAATGAGTTCCTTTATGTGGCCTTTTGCCTTGGTTTTTGGGAAAAACATCTTGGGAGATTGTTCCCCCTATGCCCTGAGGAGTTGTTACCTTTTCCCTAGTTCTTTGGAGAAACGACTTAGGGGATCTCCCAGGTTGCATTCTACCCAAGTAGGCTGTTACTTTTGCCTAGGGAAAGCCAGTCTCTGCCAGCAGAAAATGTTGCTTTTGTAGAAGACCTCAGTTGATTGGTATCTCATGGGCTTGTGGCTCTCCCAAAATGACTGGCTGGGCCACAATCTTGTAAGACATTGATCAACTTACTATTCAAATAGTGGCTTGAAAATCCACCCAATAGAACTGAGTGACCTGAGAGCCACAGAGGGGACTGGTCAGTTCGTGGTCCTGCTGGGAGTGCCGTGGTTTGAAACTGACAAGGAGTTTGCTTATACAAACCACAGAGGTTTTTACAGGCAAGGAGGGAATCTTAAGACCAATAATAGCCTGGAGCAGAGCAGTCTGGACCCATGGTTCCTGTAAGAGGAACCTACTAAAAAGAGCTACAATACAGTTCAAGGGCTGTTAACACTGAAGACGGTGAAGAGTCTGGAAATGGCCTAGCAGCAGAGAGCTGGCAGCGAGAAGCCAAGAAGGGGGTCGAATGGCAGAGAGTCAGTGGTGAGAGGTCCAGAAGTGGGCCTGGCGACAGAGCTTGTGGTTTCAACATAAAGCTGTTGCTAGGGAAGCACTAAGAGAGCTGAGAAGCTGCTACACTGGCTACAAGCTGGGCTAGTTGTAGTGGAGAGGCTGACGGCAGGGAGCCCTGATGGCAGAGAGGCCTGAAAGCAGAGAGGGAAGGGGGTATGCATGGCTAAGAGTGGCCTGTATGCATGGCTGAGAGGAACCTGCTTGCAAGTTGAGGCCTGCTAGTGGCAAACAGCACCTGAGAGCCGTCCTGGTTGAAAGCTGTCCTGCACTGAAGAAGGGAGGAACGTACTCTCCACGTTAGGGGAGTTTTCCAAACCTAGCCTGTGTGCTTACTGATGTTGTTACTTCCAAGCTGATCCTGATCACAAGCTGTAGCCTGCTATTTCCCTAATAAACACATAACTGTGAGTATGGTCTGTGAGTTCTTTGTGGCCACTGCAACAAATTATGAAATCCAGCAGAGAAGTAGAGAGTGCCATGGGGGGAAATGCTGGCGTCAGAAATGGTGAAAAAGTTGGCGAGTGGAGGTATGTCTGACCTCCACCTCATAGGAAGCAGTTTTGTGCTGATCCTGATTTTTATCCCCCATGAATCTAGATGATTCTTCATGATGCCACACTGCAGACCATAAGGACCAGCAACACCTAAATCCCTTCAATGGTAAGTCAAAGGCAAAGTTTCCACATGTGAAAAGCTCCATAAATAGCATCTACCCAGGGGTTAGTACCTCCAGAAAGGAAATTATTCCAACTAACAGATGGCACACCACAGGAAATATTCTAAAAGTATTCCTTTCATAGAAGCCTTAGGAATCAGACTCAAACAAACTCTGTTATGGGTGACATCATTATGATGTTATTTTATGTGTAAGAACAATGAGAATGATTTGATGTGAGGTCTCCTACAATATACTGTCACTACAGCTTAACCTTCAGTCCTGGCAAAACAAACTTGTCAGTATATTACAGAATATGAATAGTTAGAGTAGAGGTACTTCAACACATCCTCATCTATGCTCCATATACAAAGACAGATGCCAAGCTCTCACTGCTGACCCTGACCCTGCACACTCAGTCCACCACCAACTTCTAGTCATTTCACCTCCAACGTCTCAGGTCTTGCATCTCCTGCCCATCTCCAACGTCACTGCCTCCATATAAGTCACAAACACCTTATTTCTCCTGGGGTACTCCCCAAAGCGTAGACAAGTACTCTTTACCTCTTTGCTCACTCTTTACCCTTACCATACGTATCTCTACTACAGAACATATTCCTATATCTGTTTATAAACTAGTCTCCCAGCCTCCAGTCTCCATGTTAGTTCATCCTCAGCATCACTAATGGCATTATTTCCATCCCAGAACCCTGCTAAGAAGGAAAACTGATCACATCACTCCCACTTAAAACTTGCTACAGAATTCTCACTGCCTGTAGGATAGAGCATTCACCTCAGTCTAGCCCCCACCCATCTCTCCAGCATTGCCCCTCTAGCTGCCTCTTATGCATCCCACGTGTACCAGTCAAATGGATGACCCCAGACTCCCAGAAAGAGCCATTCTCTCTCATTTTCATGCCTTTGCATACACTGTTTCTTCCCAAAGTGAACTTTTATAGCTGGCAAAGTGCAGCTTTGATGCCCCCTCTGTTGTAGGCTCTCTTTAAACTTTAGGTACACTTTCATGGCTCCCACAGTATACTGTTCAAATGCTTATGACAGTTTTCTAAGTACCAGAATTCTTAAGACATTCTTTCCCCACTAGGCTATGGACAGACCATTAAAAAATAAGGATTGGTTAATAAAGATCTATATCCCCAGTGCAAAACATTCTGTAGCTCTCAAGTATCTAGTAACTGGATTATCCACCAGGAATGAAAATAAGGAGGATGGAAGAAAGTTACTGCTTTCATTATAAAAGAACATGAATTAGTAACATTCCATTAAGTCCTTAAAATAGAGGCCATAAACTACTAAAATACCTATAGGCTCCACATTGCTCTGCATAATTTTTCAACAATTTACTTCTCAAAACGGTTCGAGAAACAGTTTGTAGAATGAACACAATAGCCTGATGGAATACAGGAGTTAATGGCCAAAGCTGAATTAATTAATGTTCTTACTTGATCCAAGCAGGAGCTCTGGTGGTGCAACAGTTAAGTGCTCAGCTGCTAATTGAAAAGCTGGCAGTTCAACCCACCCAGCATCTCCGTGGGAGAAAGGCCTGGCAATCTGCTCCTGTAAAGATTACAGCATAGAAAACCCTATAGGGCAATTCTACTCTGTCACTTGCAGTCACTATGAGTCAAAATCAACTCGATGGCACCTAACAACAACAACAACTTGATCTAAAGTTTGAATTTCCTTGTAATATCCATTTCTTTCCACCACAAGTTACTTTTCCTGCCTTACACTTATATCAACTTCAAACAACTTAACCATTCCAATCTACTGTTAGGTCTCTAAGTTACATCAAACTTGTCTTTTGAAGGCAGCCAAAAGCTTACCTGAACTGAGATGCCAATGAGGAGCAGCCACTTCTGGTACTTGTCTGTCCAGTAGTGGATCATCTGGCACCCCATCAGACTGGCATGTTGATCAAATATCTTCACGGGCTAGGAGTCACCTTCCATGTTCCAGTGGTAGACTGTGGTCTTGGTCACCAGAGCAAGAGTGTTGAAAGAGATCCATTCCCAGAAAATCACCTCTTCTGCCATAATATGAGCCTTCATTTTACTCTTCATCTCAATATTAAAGATTTGAAGGGTCTTCCGAGCTAATATTTGATATGATGGAAATTAGAGAAAGATAAATTTAAAATATGAAAAACAAATTCTTACACTCTTAATTCTTAATATTTTTAATATTACTTTAAGTTGTACCACTTAATCTAAGAGAAAAAAAGGTGCTTGAGTAGTAATTAACCATACTTTCATGTCTAAATATTGAGAAGAGCCTCAAACATTCAGAACATCCGATTCTTCTTCAAAAGAATATAAAAGCATGTAAATATTTATAGAACGTATTAATAACAATCAGAAATTAGTTCTACTGAAGCAACTATCAAGAGAATCAATTTTAGATTGGGTTATTCCAATTTTAAAATACTTTTCTGGAAAAATTAGCAGAAAGCATATAAGATACACCTTCTCTCTTTGGTGTCCCCAACTAGGTAAAGACCATTTAAAAAAACAACTTCTCCACGTAACAGGGTTAAACAAACAAAAAGGACTAAACCACTTGCTGTGAAGTTGATTCAGACTCATGGTGACTCCATATGTATCAGAGTCCATAGCGTTTTCAGTGGCTGTGATCTTTCAGAAGTAGATTGCCAGGCCCTTCTTCCAAGGTGTCCCTGGGTAGATTTGAACCACCAACCTTCTGGATAGCAGCTGAACACTTAACCAGTGGAACCATATAACAGGGTTACTTTGTCTTAAATTCTAGACCAGTGCTATCAAATAGAACTTTCTGCACTGTTGGAAGTATTCTTTATTTGCACTGTCCATTACAGTGGCCTCTAGTTATGTGTGGCTATTAAGTACTTGAAATGTGTCTGGTGAGACAAACTTCAGGAACTGAATTTTTACTTTTATTTATTTAATTTTAATTAACTTAAACAGCTATATGTGGCAGTGTCTGATAGAACATGCAGTTCTAGACAAAAGACTTTGGCATCCATCCTCTGACATGAGACACAGAACGTTTCCACATGTGACCAGGAACTGCCTTCTGATCTTGGTATCTTCTGAATAAAAGAATTTTATTTTAAATTTATTAATTTGAATTATTTTTAAAAATTCATAAACAATTAATTTACAAAACATTAAAAACCCCAAAATATTCAGGATTGACTAAAAGATACGCAAAACTTCTATGGTGAAAACTACAAAATGTTCCTAAGAAAAATTAAAGACCTAAATAAACGAAAGGGCATATAGCACATTCATGAATGAAGCTCAATACTATGAAGATTATCAGTCTTCCACAACAAACGTACAGATACAATGCAATCTCAAACAGAATCCCATCTGTCTTCTTAACAGACATTGACAAATGGATTCTAAAATTTAAAAGGAAATGGAAATGATCTCTTGAAAAAGTAGAGGTTGGAGTCAAGACTAATGCAAAGATGATTTTGGGAATACGGCAGGGTAAAAACGTCAAGGTTCCAAGCCTCCCACATAAGTACACCAAGAAACAAAACAAGAAAATGGTGCTTGGTCTTGAGGGACTCTTGAATCAGTGAGAAGACAGAAGTGAGGAACTGCAGATGAACAGGAGTCAACGACGAGTTGCATACAGTAGGAACACTGCCTCTCCCACCGTCAGCACTCCATCCCACCCTAGTCACACAGACTGCTGGCTGCTGTGAACTAGGAAAGCAGCCTCAGTGTGATCTCCCAGCCAATACACTCCTGGCCTATTTAAGGAGAAGGCCTCAAGATTTTACTCTAAAATCAACAAGGTAGACTGCCCTAGGGATCTGTTCTGAGCCTGCAAGCCTCTCCCTCTCCTGGTAGCTACTGTGAACTGCAAGGTTACATAAGTGGTTACAGAAGACCATTGCACTGGAGCCTGCTCCCACAGCCACACACTGCCTGCATGGACACAGGGAAAGCCTAGCAGCGCAGACCCCCCAAAATCAACAGGACGGATCTCCCTGGGGTTTGTTCAGTTCTGTCTGCCACCCCTCACCCTCCGGTCGGTACTGAGAACTACTGACTGTGGCTGCTGTGAGCTAGGAAGCAGGTGCCTTAAGCGGAGTCTGCTTTTCAAGTCAACACACTGCCACTGGGGTTCTTAAATCAACAATGCAGACCTTCCTGGGGGTCCATTCAGAGCAGGCCACCATTCACCCTCCCAGTAACTGATGGCTGCTGTAACTACTATGGTTACGGAAGCCCCCCTGTATTGGCGCCTGTGCCCACAGCCAACATACTGGCTTGCCTGTGCACAGGGAAAGCCCTGTAGCTCAGGCCCCTAAAATCTCTGCTGCAGGGGCTCTGAAATCAACAAGGCAGATCTTACGAGGTTTGTCTGGGGAGTGCCTGCCCCTCCCCCTCCTCACAGGGAAGAAAATCTACCTGTGCTTCCCCTGATTGCTAGCTCAAATATAAGTAGGCCCCCAAAGCACAGGGAAGAAAGCCTCAGGCAAGAACCTGAAGGCAGCACCCAGGCCCAGAGGGGCTTACTGGGTGTGGGCTTTCTGAGCTGAAACCGTGGTGGCAGAAATAGAGCAGGGGAGGGAGCAATAATCAGAGAGAAGACTTTCCCCTTGGTGTGCAGATTAATTAGTGTGTGATATCTCTCCTGAGTGGCTGTGTCCTCTGGTGAAGAGACTGATTAGTGTATTTTCTCTGCTGTGTTTGGGAGAAACTGGAAGTTGAAAATAAAGATCTGAAACATTCAAATCTTAATTAAAACAGAGAAGAAGAAGGAGCTATCACAGAGAGGAAGAGGAAATGGTAAACAAAGCTCTGCCTGCCTAAGAGTTTCTTGCATAAAGTAGTGCTAGCAAAAAACACCAAATACTGGGTAGAAATGAGAAAGTTAACACCTTCTAAAATGCCAATGTCTAACAAAAAACCACAAGACACACAAAGATAACAGAAACAATGGCCTACTCAAACAAGTAAGATGAAGGGAGGTGAATCACATCTATAAAAGCTTAAATAATGAACAGAATGCAAAAACATAATGCAAAAATATTAAACACACCCTAAGAACTAGAGGAAAACAAAGATCTAGAAGAAATCAGGAAAATAATGCATGAACCAAATGAGTATTTAAAAAAAGATACAGACATTCTGAAAAGACTCCAAACAGAAATACTGGAATTGAAAGATACAGTAACTGAAATGAGAAACACAATGGAAGGATTTAACAACAGATTTGATTAGGCAAAAGAAAGAATCAGTGAACCAGAGGATAAGATAGAATTACAGAGGCTGAAGAGCAACAAGGAAGGAGGCTCAAGACTGCTAAGCACAGTTTAATGGAATGATGAGACAACATCAAGAGAACCAACATACATCATGGGAATCCCAGATGGAGATGAGAGAGAAAGGAACAGAAGAATATTTGAAGAAAAAATGACAGAGAATTTCCTGAATATGACAAAGGACATGACCCTCCAAATCCAAGAAGCTCAATGAACTCCAAACAGGATAAACATAAAGAGATGCATACCATGATACGGCATAATCAGGCTCTCAAAACGTAAAGATAAAGAGAAAATCCTGAAAGCAGCAAGAGAAAAGCAGAGTCACATATAAAGGATACCTGATAAGATTAAGCACTGATTTCTCCTCAGAAACCTTGGTGGCCAGAAGGCGACGGATGACATATTGAAACTGCTGAAAGAAAAAAACTGTCAACCAAGAATAATATACCTGATGAAACTATCCTTCGAGGTAAATAGAATTAAAACATTCCCAGATAAACAGAAGCTGAGAAGAATACCACCAGACTGACCCTGCAAAAAAAGGCTAATGAGATTCCTACAGATAGGAAAAAATAAAAGGACACTAGAAGGTAACTCAAGGCCACACACAGAAAGGAAAATTTTTAATAAAGGTAATTACATGGGCAAGTGTAAAGGCTGGTCCTAAAAGTATTTTTGCTCGATAATCCTAATTGTTATGTCCTTCTTGCTTTACAATGACAAATTTATAAAAAAACAAGTATAAAATTGTTACAGGGCACATGATGTATAAAGATGTAACTGGTGATAAGAAAATGGGGGGAGAAATGATATAGGTATAGAGGTTTTGTATGCTACTAAAATTAAGTAGGTATCTATTTACTGTATGTTTTGCAAATAACATGCCCACACATATAACATGCATAGTGCAGCTAGGAAAATAATGCCCAAGGGGGTTGTGCAGCTGGCAAAAAAAAGTATAAAACATGCATTATTTGTGTAAAAATACAGTATTCTAGGATATTATAAATGTAAGATCTTAAATATAATATTCACAGTAATCATTAAGAAAATATCAAAAGTTTATACACAAAAGGAAAGGAAAAGGGAAGTAAAATGACTCATAACAAAAAACCAACAAAACATAAAAGTTGGCAGTATTAGAGAAAATTGACAAAGAAGGCTTAAGACACACAAAAAACAACAAAATGGCAGAAGGAAGTCCTTCTTTATCAGTAATTACAGTGAAGGTAAACAGACTAAACACTCCAATCAAAAGGCAAAGGCTGGTGAAAAGACTTAAAAAAACCATGATCCAAAGATATGTTGTGTATGAGAGATGCACCTTAGGCTCAAGGAAACAAATGGGTTGAAAGTGAATGGATGGAAAAAATATTCCATGCAAATAATAACCAAAAGAGCTGGGGTGGCAATTTTAATATCAGAGAAAGTACACTTTTAAGTCAAAATGTGTTAGAAGAGATAAAGAAGGACATTATGTAATGATAAAAGGGTCAATTCACCAAGAAGATATAACAATTATAAATATATATGTACCCAACACTGAAGCACCTAAATATATAAAGCAAATACTGATATAAATGAAGGGAAAAATGAACAGCTCTACAATAATAGTTGGAGATTTCAATACACCATTTTCAGTAAATGACAGAATGTCTAGAAAGAGGATCAAGGAAACAGAGAAACTGAATGTCACTAAAAACCCAACTAGACCTAACAGACATATACAGAACACTCCACCCAACAACAGCACAATATACATTCTACTTCAATGCACATGTATCATTCTCCAAGACACAGACCACATGACAGGTTATAAAGCAAGTCTC